GGGGGCGGGGGGTGGGGGTTCTTCAGCTGAGGACTCAGCCACCTGCTGGCTTTCGAGGAGGCAGGTCATCGCCTGGGAGGGTGGGGTGCAAGGCAGGAGGGTGCGTGCGAGAGCGTCTGCTGGGTGAGACGCTGCCATCCAGGCTGAGCAGGGGGAGGGGTGGTGGCCCGGGAGACACTGGGGGTCTTTGCGACGGCAGAGGACAGCGGTCCCTCTGAGCCTGTCTCCCTGGCTGTGCACTAGACTCCTGGCTAGGCCCGTTTCTCAGCCTCCCTTGTAGCTGGGCGCTCATGTGGCCCAGATAGCTAATGGGAGGTAAGAAGTGTCAGTGGGGACTTTGGGGAAGGGGCCTTCAGAGGCTGAGGCACGCCTCTCTCTGCTCCTTCCTCCGCCTTCCAGCTGCACAAATGCAAGTGTGAGGGATGGGGCTTGGGCAGCCTCCTGGTCTAGGAAAAAGGAGAGGAGGTTGATTGATGATGCTCTCACTGCCAGACAGATTTAGCTCAGCGTCCCCATGACATCATAAAGGCCCTCCAGCCCTGGACTGCCTGCCTCTGGGCTTCTCTTATGTACGAGAGAAAAACTCCTCTCTGATTTTAGGCCACTGTTATCTTCTCTCTTGACACCCACAGCTGGACCGCATCCTACCTGGAACACTGCTGTGGGTGGAAGAGGGTGGCAGCAGGAGGAGGGCGAGGTGGCAGTTTGAGGGGTCTGGGTTGGCACAAGTCAGACTGATGACAAGGTTCCGGTGTGGGCTGGGCCCGGGCACTGCTGTGGAGTCAGACAGAGGGTCCCTGGGAGACGATGGTGCAGGAATCCGGAGGCTGAGGCGTGGACCCCGATGTCTCCCGGGAGTTGCAGTGTGAGGAAGGGGTGGGGAGGGAGGTGCAGGGCTGAGGAGGGCACGGGGGTCGGGTGGCCTGCTTGACTCCCAGAAGAGGCAGCTCTGTGATGGGCAAGTGAAAAAGTCATGGTCAGGGTGGGACATGGAGCCAGAAGTCCCCGAGACACTGATGAAAGTGGGGTCCCTGGTGGGGCTGGGTTCAGGGACGGTGGAGCGGCTGGGGCTGTGTCCACAGAAGCTGGGGTGCAGGGAAGTTGGGGCACAAAAGAGCTGTAAGGACACAGAAGGGGTGGCTGGTGCAGGTGGCGAGGAGGCGGGAGAGGCAGATAAAGGAATAAAGGTGCCCTAGCCAGTTTGGCTCAGGGGTTAGGGGGTTGGCCCTCTAACTGGAGGGTCATGGGTTCGATTCAGGTCAAGGGCACGTGCTTGGGTTGCAGGTTTGATCCCCAAGTAGGGGGTGTGCAGGAGGCAGCCAATCAGTGATTCTCTCTCATCATGGATGTTTCTCTCTCCCTCTCCCTTCCTCTCTGAAATCAATAAAAATATATTTTAAAAAAATAGTAACGGAATGAAGGGTAGATGCACTTGGTGGTTCGGGTGCTGGGAGGGAGGAGGCTGTGTCTACCCCCAACCCCCGTGCCCCGAGCTCCTGAGACAATAGTCTGGGCAGGCCTGGGTGGACTCTGTCAGGCCCCCGCCATCAGAGAAGCGTCTGGATTCCTCTGCGGGACCTTGGAGAGACCTGATGCTCTGCCAAACAGACCCCAGTTCTAGTCCTGGCTGTCGCATTCCGACCGGATGCCTGTGAGCCTCCGTTTCCTTGCCTGTAAAATGCGGAGGATGGGGCCGCTGTGTGAGAGCCCTCTGGGCGGGATCCGCGTGTGAAAAGCAGGCAGGAGAGCTGGGCGTGTCTGCTCACCTTCAACAAGCTCGAGCGGCAGGCGGTCAGAGGTGACACAGAGGCCAAGACGAAGAGCGTAGATTTTATTATAAACGCACCGGGAACCCGGGAAGGTTTGTGGGGTGTGGTGTGGTGAAATGGCCTGCGTTGGTTTGGGAAAGATTGTTCTGGTGGCTGAGTGGAGAACAGAGGGGAGGGGTCGGGAGGGGAAGGAGGGAGGCCGGTCAGGGGGCCACTGAGGACCTGGGGGGGGGGGGGAAAGGGGGTGGTGGCAGCTGCCACAGGGGGAGCACTCGCTCTTCTCTGTGCACCTGCTCAGCACCGGGCCAGGGCCGGAGCCTGGCAGCCCTCTCACCCCTCAGCTGGGCACCTCTGTCCCAGGCAGTTGATGCCACCAGCTGCTGCGCCTCCACACCTCAGAGGCCCCACACAATAGGCGTCTATTTTTGATCCAGTGTGGACTGTCCGGCTTCACATTGCTCCAGTGGATTCTCGACGGGGAGGTGGAAGCGGGAGACGAAGAGAAGGGGGGGCGGGGGGGGACAGAGAGATTGGGAGATGGGGAGTCGGGGGGATCAATGGTGAGGGTGTCAGGCCTGGAAGGAAACGAAATCACTTCCTCCCCATCCCACAGGTCAGACTCCGTTCATGGCCCCATCAACTGCAAGGGAGGCTGGGCGATGGAGTCTAGCAGATGGCCAGCAGGGAGTGGGACACATACCTTCTCTCCGACGTGCCCCCTCCTACGTGGCCCCACAGCCGAGGTCCTGATGGGGATGGGAGGACGGTGCCGTGTCGAGGTTCTCGAGGCTCCGTGTAGCCCCCGTGAGAGGTCCTGGCCTGAGCCCCTGGCCAAAGCAAGACCCACTGGGCTGAGTGGGGGGTGATGAGTGTGGGGCTGTCCCCTTCCCGGCTTTAGTGCAACAGCCTCATGTGACACCCCCACCCCCGCCCCCATCAGGGCCTCTGGCTGTTCCCTTCCCGCCCCTGGCTCTACTGTGGCTGCGTGCTGCTCACCGAGGCGGGGCTGTGCCAGTCACCTGCGGCTCCTCTGCACCCGGCTGGGCCGCTGGACATCTGGTTGCACAGCAAATGTTGGCTGGATGAAGGGAAGGAGGAAAGAAGGAAAGGGACAGAGGAGGGGACGAGCCTCGGGCAGCACACGCGGACAGGCCAGCCCCTCCCGCGGACACCCTGTTGGCGGGGGAGCTCATTACACGCTGGGTTCCTGATTTTTGGCTTCGCCTGGGGATGAATTTTTTTCTCTTGATTTGTGTTTTTAAGTTTTTGGTTTTTTTTAAATCCTCACCTGAGGTTATTTTTCCATTAGTTTTTAGAGAGAGTGGAAGGGAGGGAAGAAGGGGAGAGAGAGAGAGAAACATCGATGTGAGAGGGACACATCCATCGTTGCCTCCCACACATGCCCTGACCCGGGCCAGGGACTGAGCCTGCAACCCAGTACCTGCTCTTGACCAAGAATCAAACCCGTGACCTTTCGGTCTGCGGGCCGACACTCTAACCACTGAGCCAAATCGGCTAGGGCTGTTTTTAAGTTTTAACCGAATTCATGTACTTTGGGGCAGGAAATGCGTTATGCGGTATAAAAGGGTCTAGAGCCGCGGTTCTCAACCTGTGGGTCGCAACCCCTTTGGGGGGTCGAACGACCCTTTCACAGGGGTCTCCTAAGACCATCGGAAAACACATATATAATTACATATTGTTTTTGTGATTGATCACTATGCTTTAATTATGTTCAATTTGTATCAATGAAATTGGGGGTCACCACAACATGAGGAACTGTATTAAAGGGTCGCGGCATTAGGAAGGTTGAGAACCGCTGGTCTAGAGTGAGAAACAGCCCTTCTACCCCGCCCTCACCTGGCTTTCTTCCCCAGGAGAACTGGGGTTCCTGGACTCTTGAGAAGCTTCCAGAAATACATGCTGGCCAGTTTTCTCATCCGTGTGGTGGCTGTGTGATCGCCCTCTCTGGCAGCCAGAAGGCCTTGCTGAGGGGCTGGGGGAGGAACTGGCCTGTTTTGCAGCCTGCTCCCTGCGGTCAGGCATTGCTAGCCCTCCGGACACACCCGCAGGACCTGTGAGCCCTTCCTTTCACCCAGGAGGGCAGGACCGCTGAGCTCCCAGCAGCGTGAATCAGTCTTCCCGGCCACACTGCCCGAGGGAGTCGGCCTCATTCTCCCTCCAGCCTTTCATTCGCTTTCTTGTGTCTGTGCAGACAGATGTGCTGCTGACCTGCCCTCCCCGTCCACCTCCTGCTCCCCTTAGTCCCTTCTTTGAAAGAGACATCTGCTTAGGAGCAGGGCCATGACACTCAGGAGAAAGGGAGAGAGTAGAGCTGCTTCTTTAACATGTATGTATTTTTATTGTATTCATTAATTTGAGAGAGAGTGAGGGCATCAGTGTGTTGTTCCAGCTATTTGTGCCTTCGTTGGTCGAGTCTTGTATGCGCCATGACTGGGGATCGAACCCGTAACCTTAGCAAATTGGGACGATGCTCCAACCAACTGAGCTGCCCGGCTGGCCGGGGCCTGAGCTGTCTCTTTAGGACACTGGACACAGCTTCCCAGGGTCCCTGGGCCTGTGACACCCCACAGAAGTCAACGAGCACTTTTCTAAAGAGGGGTCCATATCCCCCCCCCAAAAAAATAGAGGGGGGAAAAGGTGAAGAACCATGACTTGAGAGGAAAAGGAAGGTTCTAGAATGTTCAATAAGTGGCCATCAAATGGTCCACAAAGCCCCCCAACAGAGTGACCTCTGGATGCTAACGTGGGTAAGGGGCCGGGAGGCCGAGTGGAAAGGGGGGTGTCCGAGGGATGGGCTTGATGAGAGCGCGAATTGCAGGGGACACCTAAGGGACATGTTTGTGTGCGGCCTGGGTGTTGGCGGGGGTGTGTGTGACCGGATGAGGGCGTCAAAGGCTTGAGGTGGGCTGTGTGGGATGGGGTGGGGGTGGTGGAGGCGGGGAAGCAGGGGCTCCTGTGTGTGGCACGGTGTGTGTCTATGCAAGAGGGTGCTGCCCGCCACAGCACCCCGCCTGCCAGCCCCGCCCCCGCGGAGGAGGAAGATCTTATCACCTTAGGTGCTTTAGGAGTTTCAGGCTTTCTCAGCAGCCAGATCTCCCCCTCCCCCCGGCCCCCAGGCCTTGCCCCTCCAGCCTCTGGCAGGAAGTGGGCTGGCCCTGGGATTTCAGTCGCTGCCCCATCAGTCTGCTATCTGAGTCGCCAGAGCCGGAGCCTGGCCCTGGGGAGATGGCTGTGGTCTCAGCCGCCGAGAGCAGCGGAGAGAGCTCGCCGCAGCCCCATGTCGCAGCCAGGTGAGGTGCCGCCTCGCCCTCGCTCGGCCGGGGCGGTCCCCAGGTACCGGTAGCTCCCTTGGGGTCCCTGCCACCGACCGCGGGGGCTCGAAGTAAAGGTCACGGGGAAGGGGCTCATACTGGCAAAGCCCACCCTATAGATCCCTGCTGAGGAGGCTTGTGGGGTGAGAGTCTGTGAAGTGGGGGTGCTGGGAGGTCTCGGGTTCGGGTCCGGATGGGTGCCTTCCTTGGCTGTGTAACCGGCAGGTTGGTGGTGTCCCCAGGCAATGTTGGGGAGATGGGGCTGCCTGGAGGGCACGCTCTCTCTCTCTTCTCCCGGGGCTGAGGCCTCCCTGCCCTTAACTGTGTGTGGAGTCCGGTGGGGATGGGCTGCTGGGGACAGAGCCTTCCCTGGGGTGCCCTTCCTACCCTCACAACCAGGATCCCATGCCTCCTGGGGAGATGCCCCCCAGAGGGAAACAGCAAGGTGAGCCCCATGTGTGTGTGGGGGGGGGGGGTCAGAGGGTACGAGGTCAATGGGATCCATCTCTGGGTACGGAGGTCCTGCTTCGCCCTCTCCCAGCCCCCACGGGGCCTCACATCCCCAAGCCTCTCATCCTTGGAGTCTCTTCTGGTCCCCACTGGGTTCCATCCAGGGGCCACAGGCTTCCAGACTGGCCCCCCTGCCTCCGTCTCCTCATCTGAGAAGAGGAGTCATAACAGTAGCGGCTCAGAGCGCTGCCGTGAGGGTAAATGAGGTCATATCTGCAAAGTGCTCACGGCAGTGCCGGGCACCGAGGCTGAGTATTAGTCACCCTCCTCATCCTCTTCCTCATCCTCCTGTCGTCATCGCCATCATTATCAGCATCTTCTGACTGGAATCAGATGAGCTGGGTGGGGGTCAGCCCCTTGGGCAGCTCTGCGTCAGCCTTGGCATCTACCAGCAGGCGACCTGACGCCCACCTCGCAGGGTGCTGGTGGCCCCATGAGTCAGTCGGGGAGCCGGTGAAGGGCGCGGGCGGATGTGTGAGAACCTGGACAGAGCAGCCCGGGCTCGGCGTCTGCCTCGTCCTCCCTGAGGCCGGGACTCTTCCTCGCTCTGTGATCTTGAGCAGGTTTCTGAGCTGAGCCTCGGTTTCCTCTTCTGCAGGAGGGCGAAGCCTCAGAGCCGGCTAGGAGCCCCCCCGCAGCCCCCCTGCAGGCCCCCTGCCCTGGCGCCCACACTCTCCTGTCTGTCCTGGCTCTGTCCTTCCTCCCTGCCCTTTGCCCCCTTGGTATGCCGCTGCACCCTCCGGCGAGGGTGGGGGATCCAGACCGTGCCTCTCCTCGGCCAGGCTTGTCCTGCTGGCACCGTGGTTGGACACTGGCTTCCTGCACTCTCGCATGCCTTTGCCCCCCCTCCTCTCACCTGGGGCTTTGTGCCAGGTCCTGTCCCGGGCACGGGCTGCCTGCTGACACCCTCCAGGGGCTGATGGCGCCTGTGCCCCGGGTCGTGATCTAGCGACTAAGGGGAGCAGTGGGGCTTGCCGGGAGAGCCCTTTGGCTGGGCTCTGCACTCTTTGGGGTCCCAATCCCATGCCCTGTAATATGTGGAGGCTCCAAAGAAAGAAGCAACCAACCCCACCCTGGGGAGCTCACCCTTCAGGGGGGACGGCGGGCCGTGCAGGGAGGAGCCCATCGGTACCTCTCTGAGCTCCTTCCCGCATCAGGCCAGATGCCGGCAGCTGGTCTGTGCGCCCCGTGCAGGGGGGCTGTCGGCCTTACCTCTGGGACCAGGGTCTGGGACAGGGGCTGGGCAGGGTGGAACGGCGTGAGAGAACGGGCCTGCGGATGGGGTGCGGGGATTGGATCCCAGCTCTGCCCCTTCTGTGCACGTGACCTTGGACGGGTTAATGACGTGGGGCCTTGGCTTCCTCGTCTGTGTAAGGGGGTGATATAAGCGGCCCCTAAGCCCCTAGTGGCTCAGAGATGAGATGGGCCCGTGTACCAGGCCCCTGGCAAGCACGCGCACTCAGCACACACGGGGCATTGTCATGAGGTGACGGTATGAGTTATGGATCCTCTGAACTGGCTCAGGGGGTGGGAGGGTAGACTCAGGGCAGTTAAGGAGGGGCCTGCCTGGGATGGGGCAGTCCGCCCTCACTCAGGCCCGCGTCCACCTCTTATCAGCCGGCGGCCTTGGGTGACTTCACGTCTCTGTTCCTCAGCTTCCTCATCTGAAAACAGGGATAATGAGAGTATTTCCAATGCTCTTGCTGCTGCATTTAAAGTTTCAGCAGAGCCTCGACAAGTGGTGTCCGTGTGGTTAAGGGGGCAGCCGGGGAGGGAGGGGGTGGGCTCTAACCCAGCTGTGCTGGCCTCCCCGGTGGTCGTGAGCACACCTTTCCCTTTCCTGGGCCTCGGTTTCCCCATTTTGAACAAGGGCTGGGCTTCCTTAGAAGCCCTTTCAGCAATGACAACCTGCGGGTCCCTGACTCTGACGGGCTACGCATGGGTGGGGCAGAGGGACCAGCAGGCGCAAAGGCCGTGAGGCTGGACCGGGCAGCGTGGTGGCGAGCGGACCCGCACACCCTGCGTGGGGCAGGGTGGGTGCTCACGGCGCTCTCTCCCCTCTTCCTCCCTCCAGGGCTCCCTTCCCCAGCCCCCGCCTGTGGATGTGATGGCGGCTCCTGCTCTGTCCTGGTGTCTGTCCCTCCTCGCCTTCCTCCTGCCCCTGGCCATCCCTCGGGCATCCACCGCGGAGAATGGTGAGGATCCTGGCATCCGGACAGCGGTGCTCTCCTTTCGGAAGGAGGCCAAGGCCCTTCTAGACGGCGGGCCCTGCTTCTTGGCAGAAGGGCCGCCATCAAGGGCAAGAGGAGGGAGAAGGAAGGCAGGAGCCATGGGGCCACCTTCCCCCTTCCCCCTCTGTCCTGCCCCCACTGTGCTCACATGCCTCTCCAAGCCACAGCAAGACACTGGCATCTCCTCCCTGTCCCGCCTCACCTTGCAGCCTCCGGGGCTCAGTTTTGTCCTCTCTGAAATGGGCCACTAACCCCTTCTCTGCCCTCCAGCGTTGTTTAGCTTCTCATCTGGTAGCCTGAGGGCCCGGAGCGGGATGGTGGGTGGACCCTGAGGGCAGGGCAGTGGGCGCACTCATACCTCCTCTTGCT